AACAACAACAACAACAACAACAACATATAGGTGAACACAGAACACAGCTTTTTATGATGCTGAGAGCTGATAGGCATTTCCCTGGTCAGTTCTGGTTGATAGGACTCAATGCTTTGTAATAGACAGTGTTCTCGATTAAATCCCCAAGGGATGCCACTGATCCTTATAATGGATTTAATTTATTGAGTCATTTAACAAACTTTTATTGAGAACCTCCTTGATGTTAACACTGCTAAATGCTGGAGAAGAGGTTACTATTTGTCAGAAAGTATATATTTAAAAGAATCTAATTATAGCAACATTCAGTAAATACCACAACATGGATACGAATAAAGGGTTTGAGATGTATTTTGAGGAATATGGAGATATTCGCTAGGCAGGATCAGAGGAGAGATTCCAGGTAAGGGAATAATGTAAGTAATAGCACCAGGATTTGTTCATGTACTACAAAAGGGCTGAAACATAGAATTTGTGGGATAAATTAGCTGGAGCTGAGGCTGGGTCTGATTTATGAAGGGTCTTATATGCTATACTGAGACATTTATAGTTCATTCTGAATGTGTAAAGTAAGCAACGGGGATTAGGATATGCTGGAACAGTGTGTAGCAATAAATTTTAGGATTTCTTTGTTTTTGTTTGTTCTTTCTTGTCGTGTACTGTTGAATCAGATCCAGCTGGCACAGGAGGAGATTGCCCCTCCGTCTCCAGTAGAGCATCTGGTGGATTTGAACTGCGTGTTTTTGTGATTGCAGTGCAGCCTCTTGCCACTAGGCCATCAGAGCTCCCTCAGCAACACATTTTAAAACAGGGCTGTGCTCTGGAAAGACAGCTGTTTGGCCATGTGGGACTATTCAGCACATTGTTTTTGAGGGAGCCCTGGTTGCACACATTTTAAGTTGGCTGCTAACTGAAAGCTTGGCAGTTTGAACTCACCCAGCAGCTCTGTGGGAGAAAGACCTGGAGATCTTCTTCTGTAAAGATTACAGCCAAGAGAACCCCCCGGGGTAATTGTACTCTGTCATATTGAGTTAATGTGAGTAAAAAAAACTACTCAATGCCACTTAACCAACTCAACAGCATGTCTGGGAGATATTCTTGGGTGGCACAAATGGTTAAGTGCTTGGATAATAACCAAAAAGTTGGCAGCAAAAAAGGTGCCTCGAAGAAAGGCTGCCTGGCAAGTACTTCTGAGAGATTGTTGTTGTTTGCTGTCCAGCCAATTCAGATTCATAGTGACTTCATAGTACAGCCATTGAAAGGAAACCCTACAGACAGTACTGGTTCACACAGCAAGCAAAGTTAGCATGAGCTGGTTTCTTTACTAATCTGTAGCGAATAATTTCACACATTTTCACCACATCAAAGAGTCTCCTTGGAGATATGCTTAGCATAGGTCTGTCTCAAATGCATAGCACCTTCCTACAGAATGATAGCTTCTTTTCATATTGATAATCTCTGACATGGATCAAGGACCTAGTAAGCAAGGAAAGTGAGCACAGACTTACTTGTGTTTACTTGCTAATGTGAAGTGAATAGTTTTCATGATTTTCTTTCCTTTTTTTTGGTACCACACTCCATGTGATGAAATCCATGTGAAATTGTTCACTGTAGATTAATAAATAAGCATCACAAGAAAGCCTCTGCTTACCTTGTTTACTGAGTAATCCATCTTATAGAGTGTGATTCTACTCTGAAACACCTTGGAACCACTGTGAGTCAGAATTAAATGGACGACAGCTAGTTTGGTGTTTTGTTTTTTCTTTTTATCCCCCCACCTGAAATGCTATATTATACACTGTAAGCAATGCCAGCATGGGTCATACTCAGAGTTTGTCATTAGGAGTTTATAGACCAGTACAACAGAAAGGTGGACCAAGGTCTGGAGAACTATTATAATTTTTAGAATCTTGAATTTTAATCTTGGTTCTAGCTGAGTGGTGCTAGGGATTTTTTTTAATTCTGAATTTTCTTTTTTAATTTTAATTTTTTATTATTTTGTGTATGTGTACCATCAAATTGGATCTAACTGGTACAGGAGGAGACTGTCCCTCCTTCTCCAGCAGAGCATCTGAACTGTGCACCTCTGGGATTGCAGTACATCTACTTGCCACTAGGCCATCAGAGCTCCCCTTAATTCTAAAATTTCTTATTTGCAAAATAAGATTGTTGTTGTTGTTGTTATTATTGCTATGTACCATTGAAATGGATTTGTATCTGACTCTTCTGCAGGTTTTCAGAGGCGCTAAATCTTATAGTAGGAGAGTGCTCATCTTTCTTCTATGGAGTAGCTGATGGATTTGAACCATGTACTTTTGCCTTAGTAGCACAATTTCGTACCACTAAACCACCAGAGCTCCATAAAATGGGGGTTAGAATACCTAATTTACAGGAGAAAAACATCATGCTTGGTAGAGTCTAAGAAAAAAAGGAAGATCCTCAACAAGTTGGATTGACACAAAGACTGTAATAATGGGCTCACACTCAGTTGAGTATGAAGATGGTGCAGGATGGGGCAGTGTTCTCTGTTGCATATAGAATTGCTGTGAATCAAATTGAGGGTACATAGCAACAGCAACAACAAATTACAGAATATATACATAGCGGTTAGCGTAGTACTGGACATATAGGTGCTTTCCCTCTGCTGAACTGACATATTTGGTGATCTATCACTGTTTTGTGTACCTCTCCAGAATGGAGTTCATGTTATGAACTTACTTACCAAATGAGGTGCTTCTCAGTAATTGTCCAATCAGCCTTGTTCCATTTTGATTTACACAACTAATAAATAAGTCCTTTGTTTTATGTAGAGAGTGTCTAGACTAGCCGTTTACCTTATTCCATTTCCAACAAGATTGCTGATCCTTTAAAAATTTTGAAGCAGCAACCAATAAGATTTAAACCAGTGGCCATGGAGTGGATTCTGACTTGAGACAACCCCATGTGGACCAGAGTGGCATTGTGATCCCTTCCCTTTGGGTTTCAATGGCTGATTTTTCAGAAATAGATTGCTGATTGCCCTTGTGTAGACTCTAAACACCACCTCTCTGGTTAGTAGCTAAGCATGTTAACTGTTTTCACCACCCACAGACTCTAACTAGCAATTATTGAGTCCAATTTCAGCTCAACATACTTTCTCACAAAGGAACAGTCTATTAGGAGATGGAGTCCCATCACTGGAGGGTTCTAGCACCCCAAGAAAGCAAAGATGCTCTAGAGAGGTTGACAGGTTTGATCAGGAAGAATGTGAACATTTTTATTGGAGAACTTCACCTTCAATCTCCACATCCTCTTGCCTGGTGCTCCCATATGTCCATCTGACCTCTGGTAGTCTCTCACCTCGCAGACCTGATTTCTTGTTCTCTCCACCATTTGTATCATCCAGTGCCACAGGTGCTAAGGAGCTGTGCAGAGTTTGTGGAGGAATATGGAGTGGTGGATGGGATCTATCGTCTCTCAGGGGTCTCCTCCAACATCCAGAAGCTCCGGTGAGTCAGGCAGAGCTGGGAGGGTTCTGAGACCACAAGGTCAGGGAGGCAGAGGACCATATTGGAGCGTGCTGGGGAAAGTAGAAAAGGGTGATGAGGGTAAGAGGTGAAGAAAACATATGATGGGGATTCTTAGGGAAAAATGCTGCCGAAATCTCCTCAGGAGAGAAAGATTGAGATCACCCCATTTTCTGCCACCTCAACACACACACACACACACACACACACACACACACACACACACACACACACACGTTGTATACTGTAGAGTTGGAACTGACCCATAGGTGATCTTCCAGCGGGTTTTCAGAGGCAGTTAATTGCACGGCAGAAAACCGCACGTCTTTCTTCTATGGAGCAGCTGGTGACTGAAACAAGCATGCCTTCGGGATTGCAGCGCAGTTTCTTGCCACTAGGCCACCAGAACTCCAAACACACAAAGATATCTCTCTTTTTTTTAATTATTATTATTCATTTGACTTTAATTCACCTATCATAAAATATACCATCAAAGAACACAAAATTTGCTAATTTTTTTAGTATATTCACAAACTTGTGCAATCACCACTAATTTTTTTATTACCCTTTCCTTCCCCCGAATGAAGTCGCTCCGCATTCTCTTCTTGTTTGTTCTAGTCATTTATTAGCAATATAGTATCAGACACTCTTGGCTTTTTGTGCCTAATTTCTTTCATTTAGCAAAATATTTTCAAGGTTTATCCAGATGGTAGTGTAAATCAATATTTCATTCCTTTTTATGGCCAGATAACATTACATTTTATGTATATACTAGGATTTGTTTTTTTACCTATTATTTGATGGACATTTGAGTATTTCTTTTAACTACTACTATGAAAATTTAGATACAAGTTTTATGTGCATATACCTGAATGTGAATATATAAGTTTTAGTTAGTATACCTGCCTGTGGAATTGTTCAGTCATATGGTAACTCTTAATTTAATTTTTTTGAGGAACTGCTGAACTATTTTCCATAGTGTCTGTACCATACCATCAGCAATGCATGACATTTCTAATTTTTGTTTGTTTTCACCAACATTTATCTGTACTTTTAAAATACAGGCATCTTGGTGAGTATGAAGTACTGTTTTATTGTAGTTTGATTTGCATTTCTCCATTGACTAATGATGTTGAACATCTTTACCTATGCTGATTGGCCATTTGCAAGTATTTTCTTTAGAAATGTCTATTAAAATTCTTTATCTTTTTAAAATTTTTTGTCTTTTTTTCAAAATTTTGCATGTTGTTTAATTTGTAGTACAATGATAAGATAAATAAGAAAGAATATGCCATTGAAAAACATTTAATTCAGACTTTTTAGAAGAAGAAATAAATTTGGAAAGAATTGGTTCGCACCCTTTTTAGGACAGGAAATTAATTTGGAAAGATGAACTTATTCTCTCTCTACTGATTGTCTTTTTATTATTGAGGTTTAATATGTCTATATATTGAAGACACTTTACTTTATCAGAGATACAATAGCAAGTATTTTCTTCTGCTCAGTGAACTATCTTTTCACTTTCTTGATGGCATCCTTTGACAAATAAAAGTTTTAATTTTGATGAAGTCTAACTTATCTACTTTTTATTTAGTTGATATGATATATGCTTTTCGTGTCATATCTAAAAAACTGTTACCTAATCTAATGTTATGATTTCCCCTGTTTTCTTTTAAGACTTATATTCACTCCTTTTTAGAAAACCAAAAAATAGCTATTTAGGTTCATTTCTTCTACTTCTACCATATTCCCACTCTAATCTGTATATATATATAT